GCGGCTGGAATTTTTACCCACCCCCATTCATATATTAATGCATAAAATTTCGAGGTCATTTCGAGGTCATGAACTTCGTCATTATACAGGGATAAATACTACTAAATTCAATCTTTGTCACATGAATTTTAAAACCAGGACGGGTTCAAACAGAAAGATTGTTATAGCAGAGAAAACTATGCACCTTATAATCAGCACGACTTTATCAGATGACAATACGAATACTAAAAATCCAGGCTTAAAATAAGGCGTAGGTACTTTAATTTAGTCACGGATCCGCGATATCGCGGGTGTTTTCTAGTGTTTATTAAAATTGTAATATCAAGGTACTCTATTAAAAGGCTGCACCGAACAAGTAATTTCTATGTGTATGTACAAAAAACATGTAGTAGCAATATTACAAGGTAATAAAAATTGAGAAAAATTATTAAATAATAAAATATAATCAGGGCTTTATTTAGAGACTGAGTAAAAAAGTAAAATCTTTTCCTGATCAAATAATGTCAGAATTGCATTTTATCTTTGAAGAACTTTGTTCTTTGCAGTGGATTTTCATTCTAACTATATTTTGACATTTGGCCTGACAATGGTTGCAAACCTGTCATTTGTTTTATTGTGTGCTGTCTCATTTCAGAAAAGAGGTTATATTGTAAAAAAAAATTATAAAATGTAGTAGTTTGAACTTTCTGATTTTCAAAATCATTCAGAACTTTATAGGACTTAGGATGATAGATCTTGGCATAGGACATGTATACTCATTCATCATTTACAGTCCCCTTGAGTTGTCATGTCTGTATTTAACAAGATAAAGTTAATTTCATATTTTTCAAGAATAGATAAAAACTTCCAACTTTTATTATCAAATGAAACCACCAGTCCTTTGGGTGAAAGCTTAATAATATGATAAAGGAAATGGGATACCTTGTTTTTCTGAGTATGGAAAAAATGCACTTTCAGTCTCCAACAGAAATGTCAAGTTTCTTTATAGAACATGTGTACATATATATATGCAATAACAGTTATGGTCAATGCCAAGAGTATCAGGATATATTCTGGGTGTGACAGCTACTAAGTATTTGTAAAGTTATAACCCAATCCCCAATCATGTATATATAATAACTAAATAATGCAAAACATGTTATAAACATGATAAAAGTAAAATGCCAATATACAGTAAAAAACTGAAAATAGCATTTCACTTATTATATAGTAATGTATGTAATCAAATTAAAAAAAATCACAACATAAAACAGGGCCATGGGGTGGGAAAAAATAAATATACAATGAGTATGAAAAGCTTTTCTAAGTCTAAATTGCATAATCCAAGACATATAAAACCACCCCTGGTAACATATACTGAAATATGTGTAATAATGAAGATTTAAAAAAAAATACCATGTTTACCTAATATATCAATCCTCATCAAATCATGACAAATGCAGGTACATTTGTAAAAATAGAATGAACTAAAATTCATAATTAGAGATTAATTTAGATGAACTCGATGCAGATTGAACAACCATCTATAGAACAACAAATGAATGACTACATTGGAGTCATGTCATTCAGGACAACACCTTACATGCTAACATATCACAATAATGTATACCTGGACTTTCCAAAATATAATGCACTGATTTAAGGATGTTATTGGGAGGTTTATGTATATTTTTTTATATGCATAGTGTGCTGAATTCATAATATCCGTGTGATTTATAAGAAAGTTGAACAACTTTTAAACAATTTGTTGATTTTTTGTAAAGTTGTGTACTGAAAGACATAATTGAGGCATAAGGGAAATAAAATCACAAAAAATAACAGATTTTCTTCATTTCAATGACATGTTGACTGTCTTTTCCTTAGAGACAAGTTTGTAATATTTCTGAGCTGTTATGGTCAAGAGCAGAGAAGTTTTAAGAAAAAAAATAGGGAGTCCCTGCGCGGCCTTACCAAATTGTGATGTGTAGTGAAATTGTGATCGTATGTAAACAACGAATGGTAACGTCATGTGACCATTCCAGTTCTGTTCTACATGTTCTAGTTTATCAAAATTAACCAGTCATATTCATTTTCCCTGGGTAAAACAGGCATGTGTCAATTCGTCCCGAGCTGAAAATTTGTCAATGACAGTCGAAGTTGAAAAATGGCGGTTTCGAAGACTGAAAATTAATGACTTGAATTTTTTTTTCAGCGATACATTACTTTGACTTCTTATATTTTTCAAATACTTTTAAAACTTATGATATCATGTATACCGCTCATGATACGTTTGGTTTTTTTCAAATTTCAAAAAATACACGATTCCTACCGGTTCGTCTTCCGCGGGGAATTATTTTCCTGCGCAGCGACACCTGTTGACGGCTTTCTCAGAAATTATCTCCACTTGATTCTCGAATAATAAATCTGGGGTTTTAACGGACAAATCAGGGATTTGCTTTCCGGCTGACGGGGGGACAAATCAACGTCATAAAATGGACCCTTTTACGGAGAACCAGTGTTGAGCATTTGATTTTGCCATTTGATCAGGGACTTTCCGTTTTGAATTTTCCTCGGATTTCGTTATTTTTGTTATTCTACTTTTTGCCCGTTTATAAATTTTGAAATATAAAGAAACTGAGTTTCAACTCCCTCAGGCAATGTTAGCCTTAGAAGGATTTGGCTATTATTTTGGGTCATTTTTTATTATATAGCTCTTTAACTGTTTCGGTTTTATACAACTTTCAAATATTCGGCTTTGAGCGTTCCTGGTGAGGGTCAATCCAGAAAATCGCTTCGGACGCATTAAATTTAAAACGTGTTGTTTCCATTTTTTTACATGTGATCCAAAATTAAATTATGAGCAAATAAAATGTTTTTAAACAAAACAAACAAACTTCTGAGTGAAAACAATATGAACTATATTGATATATTGTTGAAATACTTGTGTATCTCTTAAGACTTATGTTGACTGTTTCCCCTTACTGATCATCGGAGTTCATTCCAGTTATTGGTAAGGCCCGGGCCGCTCAATCTTCAGTTATGTGTATAGGTTTGTGGACTGTTCTTTGGCTTTTCATCTTTTATTTTACATCTGTGGTATCTGTCATGGTATCAATTATTTGAAACACTCAAGTGTTTCTACCACCGGTCATTGAATGACTATGCTGTATTTGGCATAACTTATTGAATTTTTTCGTTTAAATTTGACTTCAAACTGTTATGATTCAAACTCCACTGGTGATGTTTGGTGAGCTTTTAACACAGACTCCCTCCACCCCCCTTTTTCCTTCTCCAATTGAACATTTGAAGGCCAATGGTCCTCAATACGTGGGCATGTTTATGATCAAAAAGCACATAAAAAGAGTAGCAACATTTATCTACGGTCAACTTTGCCGTGGGAGCTATTTCATTTTTTTAACAATTTATTAACTTTTAAACGTTTTAATTTCTCTGCATTGTTCAAGCACATTATGTTCTTCTTAAATTCGCAGCTAGTGTAATTTACCCTTTATATGATTGCATGCTTAAACATTTAACATTTTTTAAATCTAATTTTAAGATTTGTTTCTTTTCATTGATAATGGCCGAGGATCAGTTACCGTCAGTTACCAGTTACCGTCACCATGCATTTTATGTAAAAACAGAAAATTCGGCATACTTTTATTATTTGTTATTATTTGCAGACAAACACTATTGCTTCATATTTAAAAGCTTTGGTTTGTTTAATCCATTTAAGACAATGACATGTCCAGTGTTTTGTTTTTGGAATACGTCGTGGGAAGAAACGCGTGCGGGGACATGACGTAATAACTTTTTGGTGTCATTGATTTTGGGAAACTTGCAGATTTTTAACAAATAATATATCAAAGCTTGCTCTAGAATTCAAATTTCTTTCATAAAAATCAAATAAGGTTTAAAATTTTGAAAATCATTTTCTATGCTGCCTTTCAACACAGTGTAGTTTGTGTGTCACAAGTGTCACAATTCATGATCAAATCAGATTTAGCAAAAGGAAGAAAACATTTAAAATTTATGGACGTAATGACTATATGTTTGGTTCATCTGACAAGTAAACTTCTCTTCTATCTACAGAATAGCATATATGACATTAGTATTCATATTAACTATGATTTAGAGCTAAAATAATTAAGTGACGGTAACTGGTCATGGTAACCATAAAATCTCTCGCAAAAATAGGCACACTTGCAAACTGCTTTTAGATTTTACATGACGATTTAAAGTCCGAGGTTGTGGTGTTTAACCTTGCTTTTGGTGACCCTTTCTATGTTAAAAGAACATTTTCTGCAGAAGTTCCTTTTAAATTATTTGAAAAAACTGGTACCGGACCAGTACTGTCATTTTATACTGTATTTTCAGGGTTAATAAAACTTTTTTAATTCTGTTTTCAATACATTACAGATTAATTGCAGTTGTGTCGTCTGCTGATGAATACATTTCAAAGTTCAATCGGCTAGTGGCGCTAATTATTTCCGTACATGTTCCAATTGTTCAGTGGTATTGTGTTAGTCACACTGCATTATATTGTTGGTGTCCATGTGGGATTTCATTTAACTATTTTTGGATCTGTAATACAGCTAAACCTTAGAACGGCCAATATAGCATACTAAACTTTAGTCATTATCATTGCGGTTCCCAAACCGCGTTACACATTTCATCATCATAATAAAGCTCACTGAGGACTGAAAAAGTACTAATGATCCGACTCCTTTGTATTCTTTGCTGGTGTCAAAATGATGAAATGATATGCGTATTAAAACAATATCGTTTAGATTTGTAACAAAGAAATGATCTTTACTTAATCATGTAAATAGCTTGTAATTATATTAACGTATTATAAACTTGGCTGCGTGACAATACAGATACCCCGATTTAATCTTACAACTGATTACTCACTTGGGGTAATAGAAATACATAAGGTCTATTAAATCTTATATTTAAAATAGAAAATATATCGTCATGGCTCATTTAAAATTAAAAGATATGATCGGGTATCCAGCATTTATGCATATTATGACAAAGGGAAATTGGCAGGTTAAAATTTAGTTTATTATGACGTCGATTATAAGTAATATGATCTTGATAAGGTCATGTAGCTTTTCAGATAAGTGTTCTATTTAATAACTTGTTCATTGGGCTTAGTATATCAGTATACTACAAGGGAGTCAATAAGACAGGATCATAACTGTACTTTACTAAAGGAACACAAACAAAATGGCGTCCAAAACAAAGTTAACACAGTTCAGACGTCGTTACCTTTCTGAATCTAAAATATCTGTGATACAGTTCCCAATACCATGTCAACTTGGAGAAGTGTACAGAACCATTGCAGACACATATTTCAATGAACCAACCACAGAAAACGTACCTCACTATAAATCTTTGGAACTTGTGTTTAGTGGCAGCGGACGAAACATACTGAAGATGTTATACATGTTCTACGTACTAAAGGAATACACATGAAATCACACTACATTGTAAGTATTGTAAGTAAGAATGTCTTTATCAAATGACATTCAAATAATATACGAGTAAGACTAGCAACGCATGATATTTCTAGTACTGCTGACCTCGCGACTTACGGAAGAAACCATCACCCGAAAGTTTGGAAAGCCATAATACATTAAATCGTTTATGACAGTACAACAAAATATTGTCCTTTAACTGTAAGATAATAATTTTAGAGACTTCAATGTCCTTTCAGGGATAAAATGTTATTACTCTTTATTCAACCTGTGTCTTTCTTTTATCTAAAGCATGAACTTTGGTCACACTTTAACACTAAAAAGACACAAAGCCTAAGATATATCGGACCCGTCTCGTATTACGTGCATTCTGAGGTCAAAACATCCGTACAAATTTCTCTTTTTCTTAACCACAATTATATATTAAAGCTACACTAAAATACTATAACAATATATTTTTCTATTCCAGAATTGAGTAATATTAAACCTAAAAGAATCTCAGGGACATCCTTTACAGTAGATGATCAAAGAAAGATAGGTGTAACCTGTAAGATACTGCTATGTCGAGACAAGGTTTATCCAGCAGTGAAGAGCAATGATTTCAACAACATTTGAGAAAGATGTTTTAATTTATCTTGGAGTTCGGTATTGGTGTCAGTACTTTATTTTCGTTGAAGTTTTCAAACTAGTAGCAAAATGATGTGACATTGTTGAAATTCAGTTGGAATACCATGAATACCGTGTGAAGCAATTGAAGAGCTGATTAACTCTTGATTTAAACAAAAACTAAATTTTGTAATCGCAAATAAATTAGAATATTGCATTGTGTTTTTTTTCCTTCGTTCATCCATATCTTTGATAAAAAATTCATTTATGAATGAGTGTTTTATATATTCTTTCAAATGGTAAATACATAATACTTATGCTTCCAACACAGCTGATATCATGTCCAGTTTGTGTTGAAACTCGTTTCATTCTGAGCTTTAGTTTAAACTCTTTTGGCAGGTAAAGTGTCCTTTAATGGTTTCTGTTATTCCAATTTATTTATTTATTTGTCCTCTTTGAGTGAATGGTAAACGGGATTTGTCATACAAAAATATGTGTTATCGTCTGCTTGGTAGTTGTAATAGACAATGATCTTAATAATACACTTTGTCGCCTCGAGATCACTGGAGGTAAATAGTTCTAAGTAAATAGTTACACCGCTGCAAATTGTCCGTGGATCGAAAGCTTAGTTTATCATACATATTATATGCATCTCAAACCACATGTCCATGCCAAATAATTGGTCAGTAATATTACATCTGACTAAAAGATCTCAGGCATTAATGGAACAGTCAAAATTGTCAACGGCGATCTCCATCCGAAACATTTGCATCTTATTTGTAAAAAAAAATAATACAACTGATAGTCCACCAAGAACGGCACCTATTCTGTCATATGTAAAATATTGGTGTCATTGTGTTATGCATGCATTTCTAAAATAGCGTCCATCAGCAACGCACGAGACAGTAAGCAAATTACATAAAATATTGAAGAGAACCGAATTCCAAAACAGGCCGAAACAGGAAAATGTACAACTATCGTTTTAATTAAACATAACCTTAGTCACTTTCTAATAGGCGGATGGGTAAAACTATCGTTTTAATTAAACATAACCTGAAGCACTTTCTAATGAATCGATGGGTAAACCTATCGTTTTAATTCAACCTAACCTGAGGCACTTTCTATTGGGTGGATGGGTAAAACTATAGTTTAATTAAACCTAACCTGAAGCACTTTCTATTGGGTGGATGGGTAAAACTATCGTTTAATTGAACCTACCCTGTTATTGGAACCATACTAATAAAAATTATAATGGTATAGGGAGTATTCTGGCATGAGCAAAACAAAAATAAAAACATAATTTTGAATCGCGTTGTTTTGAAAAAGATTAATTGATTGATAGTTGGTTTCCTAACGTCTTGTGGCAAATATTTCATGCATGATCAGGACGAGAACAAATTATAAATGAGTCCAATTAGTAAGTCCAAAATCGTCTTAAAAAGGTGTGTTTTCTTCAAAAACACAAATTTAAGGGAATGCGTGCATTCATATATTTCAGATAACATCAGATTAAGAATACTACCGACTATAGATTGTCATCTTCAAATCGTGATATTTTCTTTGAAATTGACACAGATGGACGACTTAATTAAGTGGTTGTGACCTTTTGCTGTATATCATATTTGTTTTTTCGTTCATTGTTGTGTACATTAATCAGGCCGTTAGTTTTGTCTTTGGATTGTTTTTAAAGCCATTTTGGAGCCATGTATAGCGCACTGTGCGGTAAGGGTGTTGCTCATTGTTGAACGCCATATGTTGATCTATGGTTGTAAAAGTCTGTATCATTTGGTCTCTGAGGGGAGTTGTCTCATTGGTAATTATCTTCTTTTTATAAATTAAAGATATAATATATGTCAAACTTGATGGTTTCAACTTTAAATTTCTCAACATTAAAAAGGGGCGTGCTACTGAAAAAAAAACTGATCCAAAAGAGGTAAAAACAAAAAGTACGGCTGAAATCGCCACTGCATAAATGTTACTGTGTCTATTATGAAATGGTTGACCGATATGCGATGTCTGTGTCTCAAACGACATGGTTTCGCCGTCTTAGATCTTTAAATACCAGTTACACTTCCAATCTGTTTAATTAAACAATTGTTTCCTATTCCCAATTTTGACATTTTGACTAGGAATCGTATGGTGGATAGTATAGATGCACCCAGTCTCGCTCCTTTTAGAGTCAATGTGATTCGCTTAATTGTTTTTTATTTCTTTTTATCTCAATGAATATAAGATATTTGAACACCGGTAAACCATTTGGTATGAATATACCTTTGTTAACATATGAAAACAGACTACTGGAACACAGCACTTACAGTCATATCTTGTCATATAAGTATATCAACAACAATAATATTGCAATGAAAAAAACTCGTCAAAGATAGCTGGCCTATAATGCTGTACCCCTGAAATTATATAAAATATGCATTCATATTTATGTAATCACGCTACTGAAACACGTTCAATTTATAATACTATTTTTTGAAATCTGTGTAAATTTATGAAGGTTATCTTCCTCAAGCATAGCTTTGTTTCCCTTCTCCAGGTTTGACAGCTTTTTGGTGTTTGTAAGGTTTTAAATTTCAAATATGCTGACCTTACTGATGATAATTGTGCTACAAAAAGAGTTCATGTCGTAAATGTTGCTATAGTTTACTTACTTCATAAATAGTTGAAAAGTCATAATTAAAATCGATGTTTATTGTATAGCTGTCTTCTAATGGTGTTTGTGTTACAAAATCCTTCTTAAATGTATGTTTCCGATTTATAAATACAATTTATTATTTATAAATAAATCTAGATAAACGTGTCAGTAGGATGGTAGTTGTATCAATAACATATAATTCATATTTTTGTATATAGTTATGACATTTGCTAAATTGATCTCTCAGTACATTTCCCGTAATTTAGCATTTATGTCTTTACAGATATGTATCTCTTTTTAAATCGTCAGCAACTCAATCACATAAGTAAAGTTATCTCTGTAAGCAACTTTTCTCATATGAATAAAAGTAGATGAGGGGTATACGTCAATGTGACATCAACCCAGCGTAAAAAATAACCTTGGCAGTGCAACATACAATCTTCACCAATAGTTAGCTGTCTTTACAAAATTTTCAAAATCATCAAAGATATCAAGACTCTAATTTGGCACGCCAGACGCGCGTTTCGTCTATGTAAGGTCATTAGTTGCACACGAATAAACAGTTGGAGACAAAATTAAATACAAAGTTAAAGAGCATCAAAAATCGAAAATTCTGAAAAGTTGTGCAAAATACGGATTCGGCATTATATGCCAGTGGGTAAAAATAAACTAGTGTTTTCGAATGATTCAAAATTTAATAAACAGTTAATTCTTTTTTTTTTCACTTCAAATTAACATAAGCTTTTGATTGTCTTTAGTTTATTGAAGGCAAACATAGTTAAGCGATGGCATTAATCCAGTAAGAAAAACCAAATCAAGTTAAAAACAAAACTGAGCGAAACTTCTCAGAATACAAAACGTTTTGAATAGATTCAACGGCAATATCAAAGACATCTTATGGATTAACATTACTATATATTATACGATTTCTACTGACGAGATCCTTTCCTTTATACAGATACATGAAAATGAAGGCGGTTGGATTTACTAGTTTTGTGAAGATCAATCCCTCCTCCCTTTTAAATCTCGATCTGAAGATAAACAAAACGTACATAGATAAATAAACAATAAAAAGCAGTACAGGAAAATAATTCAAAAGATGCAGAAAATACTAGGGGACTTTCAAACCTCAGAACTCAAGAAAACCTGTCAATGCAATGGCAAATGATGATTAAAAGACAAACTTGTTAGGAAAAAGGAAAAACACATAGACAAACAAATGAATACTGCACATCACAAACCCGACAAAAAACCATGGGACATCATGTGCCCCGGGAGGGTAAGCAGATCCAGTTACACCCGTACCATTCGTCGTCTTACTCATGGTAAGTACACATTCGGTGATGAATTTTGTTCGGTGATGTCAAAATCGAGGAAAATAGGAAGGGAGTTACGACAATAAAATGACGATGTAAATAGATAACAGAAAAAAATTCCAATTATAATGTTTAAATAATGCTCGCACTTTCTGAAACAAAACTCAAAGTACTTAACGTGTAATATCTTGATAAAAGAGGGACGAAAGATACCAGAGGGACAGTCAAACTCATAGATCGAAAACAAACGGACAACGTCATGGCCAAAAATAAAAAGACAATCAGACAAATAATAGTACAGATGACACAACATAGAAAACTAAAGACTAAGCAACACGAACCCCACCAAAAACTGGGGGTGATCTCAGGTGCTCCGGAAGAGTAAGATAAGACAGCATGTTGTCCTACACCTTCTTTTTAGATATTTATTTTCCAGGGGTCTATCCATAACTTTGTACTAATACATTTGTTTTCCTGTGGTCCATAACATTGTTCCCTTGTGTCTATCCATAGTCTTGTACTAAGATATTTTTTTTCGGAATTCTACACTCATACAAATGAGCGGTTTATGTAGCTAAAAACACGGACTATCAGGAATATGTCAGGTTTTTTTTTTCAATTGTTCCGTTGGTTGCTATATTTGATCATTTAATTTTATCAGGACTATTATGTATTTATGTTGGAGTTCGATATTTTTGTTTATACACTTATTTCTTTGAAACACAACTTCAAAATACTAAATGATTCAGTCGAAAATTATGCCAGGCAATTGGTTAAACCCGAGAAAGAATGGATTGAGGTTCTGAGGTCATAGATACAAATCAGAATGATAAAAACTCAATGGGTCTATCAATATACATGCCACATCGATCTGATTTTGCAATGCATCTGTCCCACCTTCATGACCAAAACGTAGTTGACCACGCAGATAAAACCCTTAAAAACATAGTTTGTGAGTGCAAATCACATTACATTAACTGCCTGGTAAATGAATAAGATGTAACAAATTTACTTAGAAACTCAACATATACCGCCACGACACTTACCAAGGAGGTAATCCAGACCATTAATTGGCCTTTTCAATTTTCTTTTGGAAAGTCCACCACTAATGAAGAACTGGATCTTCCTTTACTGTATTGGATACCTAATTTTCATAAATTTCCTTAAAAACAACGTTATAATGCCGGGTCTTCCAAAAGCTCCACGAAAAATCTTTCTCATTTATCGACATCAAATTTATCAGCAATCATAGCCGGATTCAAAAGTTTGTTTTTTTTAAACTACATATTCCAGAGGCGGAGTTAATAAGATA